AAAACCCCAAAACCCAAGCAGTTTTCCCGTTCCATGTGTAGACTTCAAAAGTAGATCTACGTTTTTTTACATATTTTCAAATATAACAAAAGAAAAAAGTAGATCAAAGTTTTTTTACACATTTTCAAATGTAAAAAAAAAAAGATCTACTTTTTTTACATACTTTCAAATGTTGAAAAAACATAGATCTACGTTTGGACAGTTTAAGGGTTAAGAGTGACAAAGTGTAACATTAAGAGATTAGCAATTAAGCAATTATGTGATAGAAAAAGAACGAAATGAAATGAACTGACAGCATACGCTGCTGTGTCCAGTATCTCTTCTCCATCTCCAAAGTAAATGCTGTGGTACTACATACATGTAATTTCTTATCATTATTATTATAATGGACCCCCGATTATCAGCCGGCTTGGTTATTGGCCAACTCGGTTATCGGCGGGTTTTTTGGCGCCCGGTTATCAGCCGTTCACTCGGTTATAAGCCGTTTTGGACGTGTCCATCTGCCGGCTGGGGCAGCTTGTGCTTCAGTTTGGCTTTGTCTCTCGGTGGCTGAGGAAGCTTCTGCTCATACATCCAAACATTTCGCTTGTTTACCATTGTTTTTAGTGGTTTTTCTTGCAGTGCAACCGTGAAATAAGTAAAGATGGCTCCAAAGAAAGTCTCTAGTAAAGTTCCTGTGGTAAAGAAAGTGAGAAACACCATGGAATTTAAGCGTGAAGTGATAGAAAAGTTTGAGAGTGGTATGAAGGTGATGGAACTTGCCAGGATGTACAGCGAGAATAAATCAACAACTACATCCATCCTGGCAAAGAAAGAACAAATCACAGATGTTAATGTTGCAAAAGAAGTAGCTTTTCTAACTAAACAAAGGCCACCAATAATGGAAGAGATGGAAAAGTTGTTATTATTGTGGATTAAGGAAAAAGAATTAGTGGGAGACAGTGCTGTGGAGTCGATCATTTGTGAGAAGGCAAAGCTGTTGCATGAGGATCTTGCAAAGAAAATGCCTGGAACAAGTGCTGCAGTTTGTGAATTTAGGGCCAGCAAAGGATGGTTTGATAGATTTAAGAAGTGTAGTGGCATACACAGTGTTGTAAAGCATGGTGAGGCTGCAAGTTCTGACAAATGTGCAGCTGAAAAGTATGTTCATGAATTCCAGGACTGTGTAAAGGCTGAAGGATTTGAGCCCCAATAAGTGTTCAGTTGTGACAAAACAGGTCTGTTTTGAAGATTGAGAAACTTATGCAGCATATGGGAATCTTTATTCAGGAAACGTTTCGCCACACAGTGGCTTCATCAGTCCAATACAAAGAGGAAGGCGTAAGGAGAGGAGGAGTATGAGGTAATCAGTCCCTCAGCCTGGAGTCGATGTGTTCAGTCCATCAATCTTGTAGAATGTACATTCTACAAGAAGAGGAAGGCATAAGGAGAGGAGGAGTATGAGGTAATCAGTCCCTCAGCCTGGAGTCGATGTGTTCAGTCCATCAATCTTGTAGAATGTACATTCTACAAGATTGATGGACTGAACACATCGACTCCAGGCTGAGGGACTGATTACCTCATACTCCTCCTCTCCTTACGCCTTCCTCTTTGTATTGGACTGATGAAGCCACTGTGTGGCGAAACGTTTCCTGAATAAAGATTCCCATATGCTGCATAAGTGTCTCAATCTTCAACTTGTCGGTTTTTCAAACCATTCATCACACAGGTCTGTTTTGGAAGAAAATGCCAAACAGGACCTACATTACCCAGGAGGAAAAGGCACTTCCAGGATACAAGCCTATGAGAGACAGGCTTACTCTTTTTTTGTGTGGTAATGCTAGTGGGGATTTGAAAGTGAAGCCTTTACTCATGTATCACTCAGAAAATCACAGAGTGTTCAAGAAAAACAATGTCATGAAGAATAGATTGTGTGTGATGTGGAAGGCTAATCATAAGGCATGGGTCACAAGGTAAATTTTCAAAGCGTGGGTTAATGATGTTTTTGGCCCAAGTGTGAAAAAATACCTCCTGGAAAAGAAATTGCCACTCAAGTGCCTCCTGGTACTGGACACTGCTCCTGCACATCCTCCAGACTTGCAAGACCAAGTGTTTAGGGACTTCAGTTTCATCAAAGTGATGTTCTTGCTTCCTAACACCACTCCTCTCCTCCAGCCCATGGACAAGCAAGTCATTTCTAACTTCAAAAAACTCTACACAAAAGCAGTGTTTCAGAAGTGCTTTGAAGTGACCTCAGACAGTCAGTTGACCCTAAGAGAGTTCTGGAGGAATCACTTCACTATCCTCCATTGCATAAGCCTTATAGGTAAGGCTTGGGAGGGAGCGACTTCCAGGACTTTGAACTCTGCTTGGAGAAAACTGTGGCCAGATTGTGTCCAAGAGAGAGATTTTGAAGAGTTTGAGGCTGACCCTGACCCTGCCGACCCTGTGGACTCTATTGTGGCACTGGGGAAATCCCTGGGGTTGGAGGTGAGTGGTGAGGATGTGGAAGAGTTGGTGGAGGACCACAGGGAAGAGCTAACCACTGAAGAGCTGCAAGAGCTTCATCTTGAACAGCAACAGACTGCAGCTGAGAAACTTGCTTCAGAGGAGGAGGAAGAGGGAGTGAAGGAGGTGCCTTCTTCAGAGATTAAAGAGGTGTGTGCAATGTGGACTAGGGTGCAAGCTTTTGTAGAGAAACACCACCCTGACAAAGCTGAAACAAGCCATATCTGCAACATGTTTAGTGACAAAACCCTGTCCCACTTCAGGGAAATCTTAGAGATGCCAGAAACAGAGCACTCTGGACAGCTATTTTGTGAGAGAGGGGTCCAGTGACTCTCAAACTGGTCCTAGTGGCAATAAAAGACGGAGAAGGGAAGTAACCCCAGAGAAGGCTTTGCTACCTAAAGTCTTTATGGAAGGCGATTCCCCTTCCAACCACTAACTCCTCCCTTTTTTCTCCTCCTTATCTTCTAGAAGCCAGCATTAGCCTTCAATAAAGGTATGTAATACTTACATAATTGTTAAATTTTTTTTTTTTTTTGTGAATATTTTTTTGGGAACAGATTAATTGTATTTCCATTAATTCTTATGGAAAATACCAATTTGGTTATCGGCCGACCTTCTGGAACGGGTTACGGCCGATAACTGAGGGTCCACTGTATTATTGTTTTCCTTATGAAACTATGTAGTGATCTAATGCAGTTTGCCTCACAAACACTCCATTTTCTGTTATAATAAGAGCATGGGAAGGTATGTAGTCACGACACTGTGGTGGCCCTTAGAGACCCCAACAACCATAATGGCCGCTGTACTGCTGCCTCACACTACCACTCCTCACATACGTAATGACATTTCATTCATTCTAGTGTATATATCATGTTTCTATGTTATTAATATTGTTTATTATGTCATATTAGACAAATAGTGATAGATAAATAAGCCGTAGAGTTGATATTAGAAAAATATTGAAGTACACCTACCATCCGACTTATGACCGAGTTCGATTCCGAGAAACCGGTCGTAAGTCGAAATGGTCGTAAGTCGAACTTTACTACTGAATATCAACAAAACATTTTTGTAATGACTATTTTATTGTTTTATTTTGGTATTTCATGTTTTACTTTACTTTTTATGTTGTTAGTACTGTATTTTATACTGTAAGGTTTAGGATAAACACTGTGTACAACACAAATAGTTGTTTATTTCCCAGAAATTTGGCATAAAAAACACGGTCGTAAGTCGAGTGGTCGTAAGTCGAGCAGGTCGTAAGTCGGATGGTAGGTGTATTTTGTCATGCCTGGAATTCCATTGGAATGGATTAACTGAAATGGAATTCCATTTCAGTTAATTTAAATGAGGAAAATTGACTCAACAAATGAGCTTATCAAGATGCGAGCAAGGTCACAGAATGGATTAAACTTGTAAGTAGAGGTTCCACTGTATTCTCTGATTGCATAGAGGTTACAAATATGAAAATTGCAAGATCTAACAATTTGATTGATGTATTTAACAAATGACAATGACTAATCCAGGTAAACACTTAGATCCTTCACTGATCCCACAGGCTAAAAACTGACAGTACCACAATCAGAGGTACAAAAATTTCCAATCTTTACTTCCCTGAGATTTCCTGACATTCGGAATCTTGGTTCTCCCCTCATTTAGTTTCACATTTCTATTTATTATTAAAGTCTGAATATCTAGTAAAAGAGAACTAAAGCAGAGTTTTGCATCTTCTACATTTGAAAAGTCTGGATGTAGGCTAGTGCATTGTCAGCATAAAAATGATAGTATCCAGCTGTAAGGTTAAGCTACTAACATAAACAGTACACAATACCAGTCCACAGCTGAAAAGATCGCTTACCAGTAATCTATGATCATTGGTATGAAGTGTAGCAGAGAGGTCCAAGAAAATTAGCAGGGCTGCACCAAATCATTATGAACTTTACAAAAAGCTGTCTCTGTTGAATAAACTGGTCTATACAGACTGAACACATAGTAAAACATTACTCAACTACAGAAAAGGAAACAGTTAAAAAATAGCACATTCAGTCAATTTAGGAGAGAATATAAGATCAGGAACAGGACGAGATAGTTTGACATGTTTTCTGAATCGAGGAAAGGCTTCTTGAGGAGAGGGCAAACCAAAGCCCTCTTCACTGGCTATTGAAAATGTCTTCTTTGAAAATAATGATTGATCAACACAATTTTAAAGAGAGTAGCACTTTCACATTCAGGCAAGATCTTTTAACATTTGTAGGATCTAATACACAATGCCTTGTGTCTTCATGTATCCCAGAACCCCGTCCTCACTATGTCTTTTGAATAGTTAAGTCATTACAGTATAATACAGTACAGTACTGTACTCAGGTAAGAGATTCAAATTTTGACATTTATGTCTGGGATTTTAAGAAATTTTTGACTGGTATGAATTGTGTTCCTTTCAAAGGTATTTGCATACTTTAAATTATGTTGACCTATTTCAGATTCCACAAGTGGACAGTACTCAGCTGATACACTTCAGGCCTTGTTGCAAACTGCTGCACATGAGATTGAAGAGGAAACTGAGGTACTTTTTGTTGTTTTCATAGTTCAGTTGATACTGTTACTGAGGAGTTAAAATTGGTATGGAAATTGTTACAGGAAGTGTTACAGCTGCATCCTACACACAATTGCACTTCTGATGTATGCCTGAAAACTACATGGAAGATCACTAATATTTTAACAAGACTTAGAGATACATTGGAACCTCGGTTTTCGTGATTAATTCGTTCCAGAAAGTCTCACAAAAACTGAATTGTAGAAAAACTAAAGCAATATTTCCCATAAGAAATAATGTAAATCCAAATAATCCATTCCTGACACCCAAAAATATTAAAAAAAAATACATTGTATAGAGAATAACTATAGTTTTACATACAGAAAACAATGAGAAATAAATATAAATGGCTAATGAAATGGATATATGAACATTTAACATCACTTTTACCTTTATTGAAGACTCTTGTTGGCATATGGAAGACAGCGAGGAAGGGAGAGGGAGGAGGAGAGGTTATTGTTTGGAAGGGGAATCCCCTCCATAAGGACTTCAGGTATTAAGGCCCTATTTGGGGTTACTCCCCTTCTTTGTCTTTTACTGGCACTAGGACCAGCTTGAGAGTCACTGGACCCTTGTTGCACAAAAAATCTGTCCAGAGAGGTCAGTTTCTGGCATCTCTTTAAGATTTGCCTAAAATGGGACAAGGCATTGTCGTTGAACATGTTGCAGACACGGCTTGCAACACTTTCGTACCTTGCTACGAGTTTCGTTCTTGAATTCTATCATGTTTCTCGCCTTCTTCATCAGAGGGCTGGCACTCGGAACTTCTTTGGCCCCATGGTGGTTTATTTAGCAGTCGCACTCAATAAACAAGCACTAAAAACAACGGATTATGTATTACAAAATGTTTTGGATGAACATGCAGGGTAATACTCATTCAACGAGAAACAAAGCCAGACTGAGTCAGAACACGTGGGATGCTTTGTGTGGGTGCAGGCAGGTGGACGCATTTGGTACGGCAGATCATTGTCAACTCTACGAAAACCGAGTGGATGTACGAAAACTGGGACAAAATTTTGACAAAAAAAGTAGTCAAAAACTGAATCCTACGAAAACCAGGGCATACAAAAACTGAGGTTCCACTGTATTATAAAGATGATATTGCCGAATACCTCTGGGGTTATGGGGAATACCTGGTAACTCACACAGTTACTCGAGAAACAGACACCATACTAATGATATATAATACTGGTCATGCCCTTACCATGTACAGACCTGTGGAGTGTGTGTCTGTCTGTGGGAGCCCCTATAACTGACCAAGCCTGTCCACCCTTGTGCCATACACTACAATGCCCGTATACATAACAGTAATTTAAGACCCTCGTGTCTGTGGGATGAGAATCTTGAATTTACTGGTCATTATAGAAACTCCTAAGACCAGTGCAGACCTTGTACATAACTACAATCAAGACTAACCCTATAGTATACTATATCAAACACACAGTTCATGGTAATGTAATTCGTGTATTTTTAAAATAAGCGTAAACATTATACAATATCTTCCAAGCTGGAAGCAAGGACTCTTACAGGCAGAACCCTTCGAGCCTGAGAAATTCTTCATTCTTCACACACCTTCTCCCTGTGTACTATAGTCCTGTCAATTTTCTCTCAAGTATCAGTGGTCAGTCGTCACGGAGGTCACAGACCCTGAGCTCTTTGGGATTAGTGTGACGGTTACAAAGCATGGCTTGCTCTGCAGTGTTAAAAAATTAGGTGGAGGTGAAGGAGGAGGTTTGCTCCCAGAGGAATTAGGAGGCGAAGGTCCACCTAAGGGTCTGGAGAGAGTGTGAGGTGGCTGAGTTGGGGAATGAGGCTTTAGCAGCGAGTGCAGTCTGTCTCTCGCTGTGAGGGCTGTAGTTGGGGGCGAACGCTACAGCAGTGAGGTGCACCCAGCACCTGTACAAGGGCATAGTTCCAGTAATGGAAAGGCGACAGTAAGAAAGTTAAGAGGAGATCTGAGGAGGAAATCGCTTCTTGTTCTCAATGAATGTACTCGTGGCCAGGAAGGTAAGGTACTACTGCCCCTGCTAATGGGGTAAGCGCATTCTGGGGGGACTCTCAGTAAATACATGACCGGCTTTTTGTAATAGGAATAAGAAATAGAGATAGGTGTGCTCCTGAGCTGGTGTGGGACATGTCAAAGGCGGATAATCATGTCAGTAATGGGAGCAAGCCCATTATCTGTCTCAGTGTGGTGGAAAAAAGATATTGGGAAGGTAGGAGAGAAAGCCAGATAAGACAGGTCAGCTATAGATTTCATTAGCTAAGGGAGGGATCCCAATCAAGAGCTCTTGCCTAGAAGGGAGTAGGAATGAATGGTTGTCGGCAATTGGTGTAATTGCTGGCTAGACAGATACTGCAAGGAACTTGCAATCCATTCATTGACAACTGGACAACTTTTATGCAAACATGATATGTAGCAAGGATGGGTACATCTCTTGGGGCTGGGTGTAGCACTTGCAGACTCATTGAGAAGGCCATTTGGGGAAATGCCTAGATTTTAATGGGAAGTAGAGGTAGGGTGGTGTGGAAACAACAGTGCACATTGGGTTGGAAACAGTAATGTATAAAGGCTTCAGCATGAAGTTAAAAAAGACAATAGATCAGGTAGCAAACAAGGGGACAGCAGAGGCAGCAAGGGCTAGCTCCCTAAGGTTTACTATACTAATAGCAGGAGTGTAGAAATAGATAGATGAGCTAAGATTAATTGCAAATGCAGAAACATAGATATTATGCTAAAGAGACCGCTCAATCTAAAGATAGAGAGATGCCCTCTGATGTCACATAAAGGCTATAAATTATTCCACACTGACAGGTCAACAGGAAAGGTGGTGAGTACGATGTATGTCAGAGACAATTTAAATTGTTGTGTTAGAAAGATATTAAATTAGAAGCGTCACCACTGATCTGTTTGGTTACAGCTTCTGGGGCCGAGAAAAACTATTTGGGTGTGATTTCGGGCCCAAATCTTGATAGGATGCTAAACTTCATGGACGAATTCGTAGGCATCTACATCAAATGTGTGTAATGGAGTTCAACTAAGCAGATTGACTGAGCAATTGACAGAAATTAGGTCAGGGACTTCTTGTCGATCCAGGATTGTTTTTTAAACAGTTTGGACAAGCATAGGGAAATAACCTCCTGACTGTTCTTGCCGTAGGAAACACAATAATAATCTTGAGGTTAATGATGACTTGGGAAAGTGTCACAATACTCATTTTATAATCATGAATTCCCCTAATATGGCAACATCCCGTCCCTGACTTTCGCTTGGCTGATTTCATAGACTGAAAATATTAGTGGCTGAATGGAATGACCTACTAAGGTCAGTAGTGTGATGGTTGCGAATGATGCTTTCCAGGCATAGTTTAGCTGTCAGTCAAATTAGTTCCAAATAGGGAAATCATAAACAAAAATGATCTAAATGGATAACAATGATTAAAATATCTGATGGTCAAAAGAGAGGCATATATAGGCAATCAAAGAGGAGAGGGCAAATTGAGAAATCATATATTCATAAAGGAGAAATAAAAAGGGAATAGAAAAGCAAAAAGAGATTATGAGGTTAAAGTTCAAGAGATCGAAAACTAACCCAAAGGATTCTTAGGTAACAAAGTAAGATCAGGACAAGATAGGCCCGCTCAAAGTTCCTCGGGTCACTCACGACGTGAAAGGAATGTGTAGATTTTTAACACAACTTCTCCAGTTTTTACACAGGAGGATACCAGCGATATTCCAGTAAGAAAAATTTGTAGAACAGACGATATAAACTGTGCACTATTAGGTCACAGTGACATGGTCCTTAGGCAAAAATAAATTAAAACCTAACAAATCCCAGGCCCTGAGGAACTGTATGCAAGGGTTTTAAAGGAATGTAAGAGGAGTTACACACCTTGGTATCTTTTCAACATATCACTACAAACTGGCATGGTGCAGATAAGTGGGAAAAAGGCAAATGGGTACCTATTTCAAAACAGGGACGGTCTTAGCTTCGACTATAGACCAATAGCCTAACCTCCATAGTGGGAAAATTATGGAACAATAATGCCGGGCAGTTTGTACCACCTTGAAAAGCATAAATTAATCACGATCTCAGCTGGTTTTACAAGGGGCGTTCCGCCTTACGAATTTATTAACTTTTTTCACAAGGAATTAGGAGGTAGACTGGAATGAATATGATATTGTGTATATGGATTCAGTAAGGCTTTTGACAGGGTCCCACTCAAGACTATTGAGGAAAATAAGAATGGAATAGGAGGAGAAATTTTTTCCTGATAGAGGCATGGTGACAATTTGGCGCAGAGAGTTTGCATAATGGGAAAATCAGAGGGGAAGTTCACGACGGTGTTTTCCCCAGGGGTCAGTGTTGGGCCCCCTGCTGTTCACAATCTACATAAACGACATAGTGAGGGCATAAAGAGCGACAACGGCAAGTTTGCGAGACACCAAATAGGCCGTCGAATTCATTCTGACGAGACATTCGAGCACTCCAGGAGATTTGAATAGATGATGCAGTGGTCGGAGAAGTGCATGCGTTTAATAAGACAAATGCAAAGTTCTAAATGTTGGACAGACAATAACCTGCACATATAACTAAATAATGTAGATCTTATTTAAAGGTTGCGAAAAAGATTTGGAGTTCTGTTAGCAGTAACTGAAACAGACAACGTGCATAAGTGTTTCGCCATAAAGCTAAAATAGAATCCTTGGCTTGCATATTCAAAAACGGGATTAACACTTTAGGATCCTTCAGGTTCGTTCTTCAACTCTATCATCCTTTTAGGCCTCTTTAGATTACTGGCACTTTTTGGCCCTTTTTTTTACAGTGCATATAAATCACTAAAAACAAAGGATGTATTACAAAGTTGGATGAACATGCAGGGAAACCTTCCCCCTTAGAAATGGGATAGCTTTTAAGGGCCTTTACGGAATCTGCACTCTCTAGAAAGACGAGTGGATTACGACTTTGGGTATAAATTTTAAACAAAGAAGTAAAAAAGTGAATCCTGAAATAGGGCTAAAAAGAAAAAAAATATTCCAATACCTCTGGGTAGACAGGAAATCCACAATGGGTTTTTAAGTTGGAAAAACAATTCAGGATAGGATATATAATAATGGTTGCTTAATAGAAGTTGTGGTCTGTGTGGGAACCCCCAATAAACCGAATAGAGGCCAACACCTTGTGTACATTAACAATGGTTGGATAAAGTATTTATGACTGTGGATGTGGGTGGGTGTTTTTGGAGTTTAGACCCTGATATCAGCTTGTGCTACCATAGACTACTGCCATTGTTCCTATCCCCTTAAGTTCAATGTGACTGAACCTGACTTTTTAGGGTACATATGCTCTCAAGCGGTAGCAAGGGCTCTTGGACCTGACTCCTTGAGGCCTGAAAATTATTCATTCTTACCACTTGTTCCTTGTACTTAATGTTCTTATTTTTTCTTAGTATTATTAAATAGTTTATTTGTTTAATTTATCTTTTGTTCCTGTGTCTCTTCACCCTTGAAAATGAAAATAGTACATTGGTGATAACGATCTAGTTATTCTTTGAGAAATGAATGTGTGTGTGTGAATTAATTAATAGCTCTGCTTGTATCAGAGTAAGATTCAGTGGCTAAATAAAGGTGTTTGCCATTTTTGTTTATTAAGCTCAGTGATGCAGATGCACCATTTAAGTGGATTATCTTAAAATTCAAGTCCCTCTTACATCTACTAACCCTTCAGGGTTAATAATCTGAATAAAGTTCTCCTCCCTCTCTCCCTCCTCCTCTCCATCTCTCCTCCTTTTCCCCCCGTCTTCCTGCCCAAGGAAAACAATAAATTAAAACTGTAAAATTCCTTGTTAAGTAAAGTAAATTAGACTGTTTTATTTTACACAAATTTTAACATTTGTTTTGGCGTAAAATTTAAAATTGGCATATCAAAACCTTAAGTATTGTTTATTAATACAGTGGAACCTTGGTTTTTGTATACCCTAGTTTGTATGTAAAATTATAGTTTTTTTTTTTTTCAACAAGTTAGCTGTCTCCCACTGAGACAGGGTGACCCAAAAAGAAAGAAAATCCCCAAAAAGAAAATACTTTCATCATCATTCAACACTTTCACGTCACTCATAAATAATCACTGTCTTTGCAGAGGCACCCAGATACAACAGTTAAGAAGCATATATAAAAATATATAACATATCCCTCCAAACTGCCAATATCCCAAACCCCTCCTTTAAAATGCAGGCATTGTACTTCCCATTTCCAGTACTCAAGTCCAGCTATATAAAAATAATCAGTTTCCCTGAATCCCTTCACTAAATATTACCCTGTTCACACTCCAACAGCTCGTCATGTCCCAAAAACCATTCGTCTCCATTCACTCCTAACACGCTCACGCACGCTTGCTGGAAGTCCAAGCCCCTCACCCACTAAACCTCCTTTACCCTCTCCCTCCAGCCTTTTTGAGGATGACCCCTACCCTGCCTTCCTTCCCCTACAGATTTATACGCTCTCCAAGTCATTCTGCTTTGATCCTTTCTCTCTAAATGATCAAACCACCTCAATAACCCCTCTTCAGGCTTCTGACTAATACTTTAAACTCCACACCTTCTAATTTCCACACTCCAAATTCTTTGCATAATACACCTACTATCCGACTTATGACCTGCTCGACATACGACTACTCGACTTATGACCGTGTTTTTTATGCCAAATTTCTGGGAAATAAGCAACTGTTTGTATTGTACAGTGTTTATCCTAATCCTTACAGTATAAAATACAGTACTAGCAGCATAAAAAGTAAAGTAAAAAATGGAATACCAAAATAAAACAATAAAATAAAGTCATTTCAAAAATATGATGTTGATAGTAGTAAAGTTCGACTTACGTCCATTTTGACTTACGACCGGTTGGTTGGAATCGAGCTCGGTCGCAAGTCGGATGGTAGGTGTATTTACACCACACATTGCCCTTAGACAGGACATCTCCACTGCCTCCAGCCACCTCCTCGCTGCAGCATTTACAACCCAAGCTTCACATCCATATAAGAGTATTGGTACCACCATACTTTCATCCATTCCCTTCTTTGCCTCCATGGATAACGTTTTTTTGTCTCCACAAATACCTCAATGCACCACTCGCCTTTATTCTTCTTTTTCTTTTTAGTACGCTATACGGGAAAAGGGGTTACTAGCCCATTGTTCCCGGCATTTTAGTTTACTTTTGCAACACGCATTGCTCACGGAGGAAAGATTCTTATTCCACTTCCCCATGGATATGAAATGAAAAGCACTAAGAACAAGAACTATTAAGATAAAATCAAAGAAAACTCAGTTGAGTGTGTGTATACATAAACATGTACATGTATGTGTAGCGTAACCTAAGTGTAAGTAGAAATAACAAGATGTACCTGAAATCTTGCACGTTATTCTCTATAAAATATATTTTTTGTTAATATTTCCCATGAGAAATAATGTAAATCCAATTAATCCATTCCAGACACCCAAAAATATTAACAAAAATACATTTTATAGAGAATAGCTATAGTTTTACATACAAACTAGGGCATACAAAAACTGATGTCCCACTGTATTACAAAACTTATTTTATTTTCCTTGTGAAGGAGGAGGGGAGAGTCTTCAGGTGGTCTGTTTTAATTATAATTTTTTTGTTTTAAATTTGCTAGTCATTCTCTGTTTTTATCAGAACTTTATAGTAACATGTTCACCTGATGGTGTAATGTGTTGCAGTACACCATCAATATGCTAATATAATAATTGTTTTTGCTGTTCTAATCTTCAGAAAGTCTTTGGTGTGCTAACCTCATTTAGTTGAAAATTCATCATTCATATTAGTTTTCTGTTCTCTGTACTTATAATATCTACATTGCTGTTAAATTAATATAATTTTCAGAATCTGGTCCAGTCCTTCCTTGAGAAACAACATGATGTAGATGACTTCTTGTCTGAATTCCTTTCGAAGAGGAAAACAGCACACTTACGGCGGATTAAAGCAGAAAAAATTGAAGATATTTTAAATAAACAGAGTAGCACACACAGCTCACCATATACTTCCCAGCCTTCTACTGGTGGTGGTGTTGGGTATGGAGCCAATCAGTGGTCTTCGCCATACCCCTCCCAACCAATGAATATGCCTATGCCTGGGTACCATTAATTTACTGGGCAAAACCTAATTAAGTAATAGTTGAATTTTGTAAAAGTTCCTTGTGGTACAGTGTGTGGTGTGTGTATATATATATATATATATATATATATATATATATATATATATAATATATATATATATATATATATATATATATATATATATATATGTAGTATATATATAATATATGTAGTTATATATATATATAAAGGTAAACATCATTCTTCTGTTTATTATGACTAACCTGTGTCGCTTTTATTTTCTACACGAAGAACAGCATTGAGCGCTTGAAAAGTTACATAATTAGTCCAGTAAGATGATGTATCTTGGGTTGTATTCAGTCATTATGAAATAAAGAACAATATCATCTACAGTATTGTTAAATAATAATCTTTTCTGCTTGCATATTTCTTATGCCACAGGTTGACCATCTTTCTATAAATTCAAGGATAAGTGAAATAAATTTGAAATGCCACTATTTTTTCTACAATAAATTAATACAGAAGAGTGCAAATATAAACAAATAAAACAATCCACATATACATGCATACATACACACATATATGTGCACATAGAACGAGAGATAGAAATCAAGATTTGTTCCTCCAAGGTTTGAGGCTGGAGTTGCTCCTCCAAGGCCTCCTGCCGGAGTTGCTCCTGCAAGGCCTCCTGCCGGAGTCGTTCCTCCTCCAAGACCTGGAGGAGGAATGACATAAGGCTCTCGAAGCCAGGAGAGAGAGAACCCATTTGCAGCCAGTGAAGAGGTGAGGCCAGTAGCTGAGATTCAGTCCCTGCAACCAAATATATATGAGTACATATAGATAAGTACACGTATGCATGCACGTGCATGCATACATGTGCACAAGCGTGCAAACATAAACGAACAAGTTACAAACTCATGCGGACATATTTTTTTTCTTTAACATAAGTGTAGCTAAATTTGGATCTACTGTAGCACTGTTTACAGTTTTGGATAAAATAAACATTTTAGCTTAAGAGACACCACTTGCATACTTATTTATACTACTATATTCACTTCAATATAAAGAGATAAGCATTTCTTGCTCCAGTGATGGTAATATCCATTCACAACAGTGGCACCATATAAATGGTGAAGTGCCAGTTTTATATATAAAACTAACAGTAATATAAGGGTGACAGATTTTGGAATATTTGGCCATGGAATGGTGACCTCACCTTAAAAATCAGGTAGATACCCATACTGTAGTTAAAATAGAAAAAGTTCAGAGGTGTACAATAACATGAAATTCAGAATTGAAAAATTAGGAAAAAAATGCAGAAAATGGGGATATAACCCTCATTGAAAACAGGGAAAAAAGATATAACTACTTGTAGATTTTTATTAAAAATGGGGGAAAAAAGGGCCCAAGGGGGCTTTTTTGGGCCCCCAGGAAAAACAGAGACCAATTTAAAGCTACTTTAGAATTTTTTTAAAAGGGGGGTTTTTAGAAAAAAAATATTTAAAGGAAAGGGAGAATGATTGGTGACTAATAAATTAGGAAGAAATAGTATGTAAAAAATTCTTTGGAAAATTTAACCCCTTCGGGTTTCCCAAAGGGCCAAAATCTGAAGGGGTTTTGGGCTCCAGTGTCCAAGAAATTTTAAAAAAAAAAAAAAAAAAAAAAAAAAATTTTTCCCCTACAGAATTAAAGACATTTTTTTGGTGAATAATAAGAAAAAAAAAAAAATTTCTATCAGTATTTTCCGAGATACATCCCAAAATTTTGGCCCCCAAAAGGGAGTGGTGGGGAAAACACCCCGACAAATTTTCCACAAAACCCCCATTCCCTTTTTTTTAGGGGTTTTTTTAATATTTTTTTTTCCTTTTTTTTTTTCCAATTTTTTTTTTTTTTCCTCAACATTTGGGCCTGAAGACCAATACGTATAAAAATTATACTTGTATAAAAAAACCAAAACTGTATTGAACACAAAAACCCATAAAAGTTTTTAATCAAATTTTTTTACCACTGTTTGTGTATTACAAAAACCATGCAAAAAATCTTGCATAAAAATAAATTTTTCTATCATATTTTTAAACATATTTAACAATCACTGGCCCATTTTTTTAGAACCGCTGGATTTTTTGGGGAAACCCTTGAAAAAAGGGCACCATGCACAGGGGCACCTTACTTTCCTCACCATAAACCAGTGTTTTTGGGTCTTTGTTCCCCGTCGTTTTGTTTGTGCACAGACGAGAAATCTCTTCTGACAAATTTTTTTCTGATTTTAAGGGAACCGTAAATTGAAAGGGCCCTTCCCTCCTCAAACGCTTGGTATACCCCGAAATTCGAACCTTGTTGTATAGCGGGTGTTCTTACCTGGTATTTTCATTAGGGATTGCCTACAACAGACAAACAAAATTCACCCATACGGGTCTGTTGCCAGTCTTTTTTTGGTACATATTATAGCATTGAGCTTTAAAAATGTCCATAAATGGAAAAAAAATTTTCAGGGTACCACTTGAAAACTTTTTACGAACAAAATCAAAAAAACAATCTGCAGGTCATTTTTGTCAACCAACGCATTTTTTGGTGTATAAAACCACCACTGTCACTGGTTTTCGAATAGTTCATTAGTCATTTCCGATCAATTTTGCCACTGCTTGCATTTCATTAGGGGGAAAAGGTTGTCAACAATGTACATCTCGTTTGTCTTGCCACCGTAAGGGCCATGAGTCTTTGGGCAGAAAAACACCTGCACGTCATCACCACGAGCACCTGCTTTACCTGGAAAATTTTTTTTTAACGTTTAGAACCAGGGTGGCCACCACATCTTTTTGGGTTCCCCCTCACTTTGAAATCACTGAGTAAGGGGCTTGTGTACCATTTATCGGTTTTTTAAAGTTTTCCCCTTAATAAGAAAAGGGTGCCACATTTTTCCTCACAAACCGTAACCTGAGATACCCAATAAAAACCCGGTTTTTTTAAATGTTTTACTTCCCGGGTATAAAACAATATCCAACCCCAAAGGCCCACTGTCCCCCGCACAGATAAAAAACATTTTTATAAAAAAGGGCTTTTCCTCTTGCTCGTATATACTGCTTGAATAAACAGTCAAACCTTTGAACAAAATAAAAGATTTCGTAAATTTACAAGTTTCTTGAAGGGATAAAAGATATCCCAAATTTTTTTTTTTGGGAATACTTAAAAACATTTCAAATTTTTGTATAACCTTCACTCGGGTCGGGCCGGGTTTTTGCAGAGAAGGGAAAACATACTAAAAAATAAGAAAACCTGTTCACGGGGATATTTACTAAAACCCCGGGTAGAAATTACCATTTTGGCCCAAAATGTTTTTTAAATTATATTTAAATAACAAAGGCAAAGCTTTTATTGTTGAAAAAAGCAAATACATTTCTAAACAGCCTTCTCTTTCCCCCCTGGTAGCCCTTAAACTGTGGGGGATATAAACGATTTGCCAGGGTTTAAACCAAATCCCTTATTCTTTCACTGACAAATTTTCCATAAAAGGGCTGGTCAAAGAATAATTCAAAGAATTCCAGTTCTTTGGGCCCGGGGGTTTCCCAAAGGGGGACAAGTGGGTAGAATTCCATTTTGGGAGTCCCAAAGGGGTGGGGCTTGGGAAAAAAAATTGGGTTTTTGCTGCCAATTCCCAGAAAAGGGTTTTTGGCTGGGGGATACTGTACATCAAAAGGGGGTTTTGTGCGGGTGGTTTTGGTTGTGGGGGCGGGTGCTGACCCCCCCCCGTTTTGGGCCCCTTGAACTGCCCAGTCCACGGGGGCCCCCCAGCCTGGGGGGTGATTTCACGCAGGGCGGTGCCACAAACCATCCCCACTACCACCATCTACTAAAGGCCTGTGGTCATCCATGCCAAGTGTAGCCACAAAAACCTCATTTATCCTATCAAACCCCGGGGGTTAGGGCCACGGAGGGTACCCCGGGGATTACCCCCGTCCCCTGGGCACAGCATGGGGAAACCCCAAAACCCGACGCTTTGGGGCGGCGAAATACCGAGTTTTCACGGGAATACGTTCCTCACTACACACTTGAAGACCGTAAAGGGCGCAAAAAAATTCACAACCACCCCAAAAATCACCCACATTACTAAAAGCCCAAGGGCCGGGCCCAAATGCAAAAATTTTAGTTTTTCTCTTGCGTTGGGGTTACAACCAACCGTCTCACGAGTGCCCAAAACCAGGGGTAGAATTGAGGTCATCAGGTTTTTCTGAAACAATTTTTAAAAAAAATTTCAAAATTTTTTCCGGGTAAACCCCATTGGGTCACTAACGGATAAAAAAGCCATAGAATTCTTCTTTTCCATTTTCCCATCAGTTTCAAAACCAGATAGGAAGAGGAAGCCCCCATTCCGGGGGAGTGAGGGGCTAAATTTGGACAGCAGGGTAAAACCAAGGTAACTGAGCCGCTTTTCCCAAAAGCTATGGGGGTGCCAAATTTTTTGTTTAGGGCGCAAAACCCCCCATGCGACCCTTTTCTTTTCAAAAGTGGGCCCTATGAGCGTTTTCCCCGCGCAAAATTTTGATGGCCAAGAATTTTGGGTTTTAAATCTAGGGTTTTGGGGACACTCAACGAACCCTAGATCTAGGGGACACCCAAAAAAGGTTAAAGACCCTTTATAAAATTAATAATAGAAATCCCCTTTGGTGTTTTAATTATAAAATTTGGGGTTTTCCCTTTAAAAAAAAGAAAAAGGGAAAAAGACATTTACAAAAGGCCCCCAAAACCCTAAAAATATGTTTTTAACCCTTTCAGTTTGGGGAAAAAAAATAGGGGGACTGAAAAAACTTTGGGACACAAAAAAGAAAGGAAGAATTTTTTAGCCTATAAACAGGGAGAAAAAAACCCCACAAATTGAAAACAAAAGGGAAAAAAAAAAATATAGTGCCAAAAGAAAAGTAGGTAACATTTTTTCCCCCAAGTGGAAAAGGAGGGCGGAAGGGGATCCAAAAAACCCAAAAGTGGTGCTACACCCCCTTTTTCCAACTTAAAAAATATAACAAACTAAAGACTTGGAAAACCCATGAAAAGCTCAGTTTCCTGTAGAAACAAATTCTGTAGCTGGTTTTTAGGCTGGTAGTTAAATTCCTGAAAAACAGCTATGTAAAAATAATTTTATGCCATAAAAAACACAATAAAATATATACAAAAAATCAGGTTTTTTCCCCCAAAATTTTAAAATCTTCACAACCCAAAAAAATCTACAAATTGTTATTTAAAAATAAGGGGGTATAAACTTACTGCCCATTCTGTCGCTCTAACTTTCCCCCCGGGTTTAAAGCTGTTCATAAATCCAAATTTTAAAAATTTAAAGGGTTTTTTTAATCACCTAGATTTTTAAATTTTTCCATGCTTTGAAAGGGAAAAACCCAACTTAAAATTTAAATGATACCTTTTTCTTTAAAAACAAAATTTTTTCACCTTTTGTTTTTTAGTTTCTGGGGACTGAAAAATCCAATAATCACAAACTTTGTGATTCCTTTATATTTATTTATACAAAACATACATATGTAAAATTTACACAGTTGGATACACACCTTTTTTCCCTTTTAAAAAACCAGCTATATTTCCCTCAAGGGGTGGCCCCCAAAAAGGAAAAAAAAAAATTTCTCCTTTTAAAATTTTTTAATATATACAGGAAAGGGTTACTAGCCAATTCCTCCTGGGATTTTAGGGCGCCTCTTAAAAACAAAGCAGGCTTACTTTGGGAAAAATTCTGTTTTTACTTCCCCCTGAAAACGTTTCACACACCTTAATAATTTTTACTAAAATTTAAAATAAATGTTAGAAAAAGT